AATTGCACTTTGTCATCTTTCTCTTCCCCTGTTAATTCACTTCTTTAAGCCAACCTTTTATCTATCAGGCTACCGTTTCCACAATGGTGGCATCTCACTATAGGGCAGTGTGAAGTCCATACATTAGAAAATATAACAAAACACCTGGATTATGCCTTCTGTACTAGAAATTATGGCTTGGAACAATTAACACATTCAGATTTCCTTTCCTAACATCCAGAGGTGGGCGTCGCAGCAACAAGAGAAGAAAATTTAAATATCAGATGAGTTCCACAGTTATGAATTACTTACATAGATATATGACAGGAACACTTTCAGAATTTGATAAGGGCCCCTTTTGAAGGAAATTAATGTCGAGGCGCCATCTGATAATGTTGGCACAACTTTCATAAGTCTAGTTTGACTGTTATTTGTTTGATAATTATTCACAAAGCACTACAATCTGGATTAGTTTAATTTCACTACAATAGCATTAATGAGATATGGTCAAATGAAAAGCAGCCTGTTCCATAATCCTTCCTTCAGAAATGAAAATTGACAGATATGAGCATCTAATATTTAGTGGAACCAAAGACACAGAACAGTTAATTGTGTACCTTGCATAATTTCTTAAAGACTGGAAAAATGATCTCATCATTTATAACGACTTCAGCATGGCTTCTTACCAAGGAGATCCACTGCAAATGTAAAGAAGTTGAAACCAAAGCTTAATTTTTTATATCGTAGTAGCAAAAAAGACATAAAATTCATGAAAAAGAGCAAGGGTACATCTCTATCTTCAACTATTTTTAGAAGGAAAGAGAGGCAAAGATGGAGATGATCAATTCCCATTACTTATTAAATCCAGTTGAAGGATCTAAAGCAGTTCATTAAAATAATCCAGTTCCCCCAACACTCAACTATCTCTATATTAATTTCATGTTAACTATAATAGAAAATAGATAACCTGAGATCCTTTTCGCCACTTGTCTTTTGGGATGAAAGGTGACATCTTCGAGCTTTATCTACTACCCTTTACATTAAGAAAGCTACAAAATGAAGTGATTTCTCCAGTAGGAACCAGAAAGGGCTTAAAACAGATAGAACACTATCATTTCATTTATCATGGAACCATTTGTAAAGAATCAATTCTAGGCACCTCAAGAATCAAGAAGGCTGCCATCTACCTGTCCACGTAACTCCTTGGAGAAGCCATCAGATACTTGTATATATAGCAAAAACTGTAAAGGGGAACACAACTGCAATATAAAAACAAGAAAAACCTGGATTAACATGAACTCAACGAAAATGTTCGTAGTCCAAGCAACAACCTTGTCCAAGCTTTACAAACCTGTCAGAAAGCAGGACAAATCTTTGATTTACCGGGTCTTCTAGAGCACCCGCAAGCAACAACCTCTCTGGTTCTATCATGCTTGATTCTCCCCATCTCACCTGCAATAAGAGATTGTATTAACTTGAATCCGGGGATGAACTCAAAATCTCATGCCATTGAACTTAACAAGTTCTAACAACAATTATGAGCGTAAAAATACATTGAACGGATTAAGTGCTGTTTGGATTGAGGGAAAATGAGAGAAACGAAAGGATGGGGAATTGGAATTTGGAAATTCCACGCCTTGATTTCCTGGAGTTAGTTGACAGTTTCAGAAAGCGAAACAGAACCAAACGAGAAAGGGGAACGCCGGCCTGAAATTTCGCCGTTCTTATATATGGGCTGGACCGGACCGAGTAGCTGATCAGCCCAAGTCAAAGGAAAATGAGTTGGTCCGGTCAAAGTCTTCTCCTCTCCATTTCTACTTTCCCTTCAGAATCTCTGACTTTCCCTTTGAATCCACCGTGGTAACCACTTGAAATCCATCTCCACCTCCTCCGATTCACTTAAAATCTTGGTCATTGTCACTCCAATCTCCGATTCAACTAGAATTGAGCTCCGGTGGCATTTCAGTACTCGGCTTCTGGTGCGTCAAATCGTCCACCGGTGACTAGCATCTTTGATTCCAATCTCCAAGTCTAATGGCTATGGAGATCCATTTGATTTCCGGCGATTCATTGTCTCCGACCTCGCTCCAGATATGGTCGCCAGCAGCTGTCACTCTCCGGCGACTTCAGCTCAGATCCGGCGATCTTGACGATTTATGATATGCTCCTCCTTTGGTAATGATCTTCATAACCTAGTTCTACATGTTAGATTTCTTCATCCTTCTTTTGATTAAATTCGAATTTCCTCTTGGTTTCTTTAATTTCTTCATTTTTAGTTTATCTGAATTGAACTATTAGCTTGATAGTTTTCTACGTGAGTGACAGTGTGTCGCAGCTATTATAAAAATTGAAAGACATATGAAATGTTTTGTTTTCATTTCTGGGTTCATTTTTCTTCTGGGCTTGTTGTTTTCTTCCATTATAAACCTCTTAACGTTTCTCCTAATTCTGCATAGAAATATGGTGTCTTCTGGACACAACGAAAAAACCTTTGCGTAGCCAAGGAAGTGGTTTCTCCTAATTCTGGGGCTAATGTATTTGTTTTAGAGGACGCTAATGTTTTTGTTTTAGAAGACGAGTGTGACTTGAATGTCCAGGATCTGGTGAACTTTATTCCTTTGCAGTTCCTTTTCCCTCACTTTGTTTATTTCCTATGAAGCTTTTAAAAATATTTGTTGTCATTCACACAAAAATGGTGCATTATTTCATAATGATTTAGATCCTCCTTATCCACTTGCTATTAGTTTATCTCAATAATGTGGAATTTTTTGATGGAATTAAGATAGTTTATTTTTATGAGGTGGTGTCTGAGCAACCATGTCCATATATCCAGCTTTGCACCTCATTTGCACAATGCATTCCGTGAGAGGGCATGCTGCTGGGTACCTACAGAAGAAATGGGAAGGGAAAGACACTCTTTTGCTTTAAAGTTCGTGTGGTCTAGCTGATCAAAAAAAAAAAAAAAAGTTTGTGGGGTCTAGTAGAATTGGTATTCCATTCTAGTGATATAAATGCTACTGAACCTCAACTTGTTAAGATACTCCAGGACATCTTAATTGACATTTCTGCTCCTGGACCAAGATGTTTGGCTGCACACATTCTAAGTTCTTTTGAATTTTATAGTTTCCCAAATAAAATTGGTAAAGCTATTGGGAAAGCACTTAAAGAGACAGAACATGCAGATATGCAGTTCTTTTTCAGTAACGATGCATCACTGACAGTTCACAGAGTTATTCTTGCAATTTTGATGTCCATCTCTGCCTCCTCCCAAGCAATTACCTCATCATGAGAATAATACTGATTATCTTTAAGAAAGATATGAGCCAGAGAAGCCGAGTTCAATGTTTCTGAAAGAAGTCGATTGCAGCACATACAACCTTCTTTGAAAAAAAGGAAAAAAATTTGTTGGCACAATTTTTAGTTTTGGTATTTTCTAATTGGGAGGGTGACTTTGCTTAACATTTGCCATCCATTTATTTAGTTTCCTATAACTTAATTATACAGTTTAACAGCTTTTTCTGTTTCAGGGACATAATATTAGAAGCTGAAGAAACGAGTACAAGGGGTATTCTACCTTCAGGAAATTGTGCGTGACCCTGATATTTGTCTAGTACAGGTTCACTCATGGGAAGGGATTGGGAATGAAGCCAAAGAACACGTGGACAGCTGTGAAGGTATCATAAATAACCTTTAACTTATTTAGTCCCCTTTATGTTGTTTAACATGACACTCTTTTGGTCTTCCATAGGATAGGTTCACACATCCTCATGTGGACTTATACAAAGGTGAAACATTTGAGCACATGAAAAGTTTATGGTTAAACTGGAGATCAACATTAACATTTGAGCAAGAATTTAGAAACTGCATTGACAAACATACCTAAACCTGTTGATCAAGGGGATTGGGTGTGGCCGGTTAAGGAGTATTATTCAAGTGATGAATATGTGGTGTGGTATTTTTTTATATTATTTTTAAAAAAGTGTAAAGATGTGTCTATTGTTGTTTACATGTCTATCTTAGTGTTGTGACTTGCATGTTTGCATCCTGTGGATAGATATATCTGGATACTTAGCCAATTACCATCCAATTTCCAAATGCATTGGTTAATATGTTATCATCATATGTCCATTCTCTTATTTTACAGCTTGTTTAGCATTCATGGAGACTTTGGACCTTTGATTGAACTTGCAAGCTTTACAAGGATGACTTTATTTTCCTTTTTTTTCTAGTCATTTTGTTTTGAATTGTAATATTGTATAAGTGTTTTGGCATTTAAATTTTGGTTTCTTTCTACTGATGATTGGTTTTTTGGCTATCTTTTCTAATGATGCTGTTTGGTATGTGTGAAAATTTTGGATGTCTCTGCTTCAGATCCTGATGGTAAGCCCTTTCCCACCAGCTCTTGGTCCAAAGCATTAATATGGTTTTCATGGATGTTTGATATGATTTAAGAGATGTTTGATTGAATTGAATCCATAATTTTTGGGAATGCCTACGTGCTCATGTATATTTTGGTGCCTAACATTAGAAAACTGAATGGATAATAGGTTTCTACTTAATTGCGTATGTGTTTTTGTTTGTGCACTACTGGTACACCAAAAAGAAGAAAAAAAAGGAAGAAAACTGAATGGTTGCTGTATATACCAGTATATAGTGAATGGTTTGGTCAACATAGAGGGTAGGGTAGGGTAAGGGGTATTTGTTATTTTGTCTGTGGACGAATCAGTTACAGACAACAGGCAACCAGCTGAAATGCCTTGTGCTATGGTACACAGAAAAATAAACCCCTTCCAACGAATCAGTTGCTTATGCTTTTATTTTTTTTCATATGATTTTCATTCTGTTTCTTAGCCTTGAACGCCTACGTGACTCATAAGGTGTGTTGGTCCAATGCATTTTTGAATTTGAAATTTAGGTGATTGATCTCATTCCATGGATTAACATATTTCATGCCTTAAAACACTTTTTTGGTTTCATTTTCTCCTCTTTCATTTCCAGGTGGAACATATGAATGGATTGTTAATACTTTTTTGTGCAAGGATATCAAGATTTGGCCTGTTAGTACTTTTTGGTTCTTTTGGATAGACTTGGCTATTTTTGTACAAGCACATAGAATGGTATAGGCATATAGAAATGCTACAAGCATTATGGAAAGTGGGTTCTTTTTGGTAGTGTTTTTATGGATAGTTTAACTATATCATGTAATTAAGGATCTATTATCTTTTAATACATATGAACACATTATGGACCATATTTCTATGGATTGTACTGTTATTATGCTAAATTTATGTTATGTAGGTAAATTGTTATGTTTTGAGCAGATTTGTCAACTTCTTTTTTAAAAAAGGCAAATTTGCTAAATAATGACAAAATATCTTGTCGTTAATTTTACAAAATAACCACGGTATTTTTTGTGTCCAAAAAGCTCCTTTTCTATTTTTGTAATTCCATGGCTTTAAATGTTGCTACTTCAGGTTAGGTTTTTTTAAAAACAATACTTAAATTCTTCTAAACTTGGACATCTGTTATGGTTTTGTATTAATCTGCAATTTTGTTTTTCTTGTAATGATTTGTCCTTGCAATGTAATGCTCCATTGTAATTCACTAATTCGTGCATGTTGAAAAACATACAAACTATCATTAGTCTCTTTCGATATCTTGCAGTTTTTCATTTTTCACAATTTTGTTTTAACTAATTATTGGTTGAAATCTCTTTAAATTTTACACAGCAGCTAGTAGGTTAAGAGAAGAATATCTATTGGTTTTCTGACGCTACGGGTTGTGCTTTAGTCTTAAAATAAAATGGCCAACTATTTTTGGAGAGAAGAAATGAAGCTCAGAAAACAGATCTTTGCTCATCTAATGTAGAGATTGTAGTTTTAGAAAGAAAATGTTAATAATGGACACAAAGCAAATGTAATTAAAGCAAGGAGCGACAACAAATGAAGTGCCCACTGCAAAGCTGCCGGTTTGTTAGATTTAATGGAGGCGGTAGGAAATGTGGGTTAGGATCCTTGTATACACAAAAAATGTAGCAGCTGGTGATGAAGGGGGATGGGGCAAAAAAGGCTATCGTAGAAAACATTCCAGAATGTATGAACCGAGGTAAAGGTTTCTAGGATGCAACTCTGATGCTTTAACTGTGTTACCATTTGGGATTGTCTAGGTGGGTTTCTTCTTCTTCTTCTGATTGGCCGTGAGTTTCCATTTTTCATTAGGTTTGTTTTTGGAAGTAAGAGAAGGGGCAAAAGAGAAGTACAAAATAAAGAAAATGTTTCCTTCTCAATTACAATTCATTAAGCAATAACTCAGTGAAATAAGTTTTTAAAAAAATTCAAATACATGTAAACATCTTATTTATACTCAATAAATTGCTAAATTGAGTTACCAATACTTCTGCGAAGCTGGGTGAGGACCACTTGTACATATGTAAAAGGAAGAATTGAAAAAATACACACAAATCAAGAGAAAAAAAAGCACACAAATCAAGAAAAAATATACACATAAGAACCAAAGGTGATCGATGTGGTAGCTAAGAATCAATCTTTATCCAGCGACTAGGCCATGCATTTTGATTGAGTAATTAGCCATACACTTTCATTGAGTAATTAGCCATACACAGCCAGATGAAGGTGAGTAGTTCTCCGCCCTTACTTTGTAGTTGTGAATGCACGTTTGGCCTACATCTACGCGCAGCATAACACATTAGGAAAACCCATTCTTCTCTCAATCTCTCCCAGGAATACGTCCCGTTCTTGAGTTTCCTGGCTAAATCTTGTGCTTTAGGTAACGTTGATGCGGCTAGATCCTCCCTCTTATGGTTGTCAATGTTAGCTGAAAGAATTTTTCTGCTGGCATCCTTTTCATTTGAGACTGAACTCCGGCCTAAAATTGACCAAGTATGCTCATATGTGTCTTTAAACACTTTCTCCCAATTGTTCGACACAGTGGTCATTGTAGCAGGCTCCATCATCATAAAGTAAAGCATATAATCTGCAATTAGCTTGCAAATTTTTCTGTCATTATCAGTACTCCCAGATGAAGATCTCTGGAAATTTTCTTCTTGGATGGATAATTCGGTGGCTATATGCTTGCTTAAAAGCGCATCTGAAAAACCAGGCCCATCTTCTACGCCAAGGAAATCTTGTATGAGTTGTTCACGCAGTTCCCTGTGAACGTACACGACATCCTCAAAAATACGGCGCCAGTACTGTGGGTCTTCTCCAAAATTATGGGAGGAAAGACATCGAAGTACTTTTATAGCTTTTAAAAAACTCCTCAAAGGAAGAAAAATAGCCAATGAATTCAACCAGTTTGGATAGTCCTTAAAACTATAAGTAATAAAATTTAATTGGGGAATTTTGTTAGACCACCTGCGCCTCTTGACAACTGTAGCCTCCAATCTGGATCCCAAGTTGCGGAAGTATCGCAAAATATTGAAGTTAGCAAAAACAAACCAGTCGGAGAACACAAGAAAAATGATAGATATGAAATCCAAAGTCAAGGCTCCGATCAACAACCCATAGGTTAGCCAGGCATCAAACTCCTCCAACTCGTAGTGCTTCTTCATTAATGAGAATGACAACAAGGCTCCCAAGATGCAACTCAAGTTCAAGATGCGACTGACGCACCCAGCCTTGGAAACAATCACAGGTAACTTGGTGTAGAGAGCCTCATACAATAGGCTTAGCTGAATTTCCATCTTTAGGAGAGCATCGTTTGCAAAAAAATCCTTATTGTTGCTTCCAAATGCTGCAAAACCCATTGCACGTTCAGATTTAGATAAAAAGGAGCCAAGAAGAGGCCTCCTGATAGTTCCAAACAAGTAAGCTGCAGCTTGTAATATCGACTTGGGATCGGAATCAACAAAAATTGGCTGCAAATAATCATCTGCCAATACATCAGGCCCGGAATCTGCAGTTCCCAACTTTTTGAAATGTTCCACCCAATTTTCACCAAAACGCTGAAAGCTTGCAAGATAAAAAGCATAGTTCCGCTCTGCATATTTGATTATGCCTGATAGTAACACTAGGAGGGTTGGGAGCCAAAGCTTGTTTTGTGAGAAAGACTGAAGGATAAAATATATAGTTGATCCAACCTGTAACAAAAGCCCAAGCAAGTGTCTAAGCCATAACTCATTATCCTCCAGAGAGTAGGAGGTGATGCTGTCACGGCCACCAAGATGCAACAAAAGAAAGGGTGCCCATAAAACCAAGATGTCACTACTTCCAGTGCGTAAGATGAGTCCAATAGTAAATGTAGCAACCCAGTCTGCAAGCAAGTATGCCACCCATATCATGGCAACCCATTTTCCCCCTTTTTGTTTCCTCATGGATGCAAACAGAACTAAAAAAGACTGCACCAAGAGGCTTAGCATAATCAGTCCTCTAATGTTCCATGTATCCCATAGCTTCTTGATGCTTTCAGCATCTAAGAACACCATCTTCTTTAGTTGTTTTGCTTGCTTTCTAACTAAAGTTCTTCCAACTTTAGTAAATACCTAGATGCACCTTGAGTCCAGTAGAAAAACAACCTTCCAGATTGTAGATCCTACATAATAGATTATAGTTTCAATCTTTCAGTATGAAATATTATATATGAGAGGTTTTGGGATGTGAAGTTAAAGGAGTATGTTCGGTTTGGAGGATCAAATCATAAAAACAAATCAAAACGAAAAAAGGAAAAAGAGTAACCTGACAAGCTAGGATTGAGGAGATAATAAGGTTGATTATTTAATTCTTGATTAAGGTTTAATTAATTTTCTTATTAGATACAAGTTTAGTATTAAAAAAATTCTAAGCCAAACTCCAGCTTGCTCCTTGATGTTTAGTTTTTAACAACCCAAGTATGAGTTTAGCCCAGTTTTTGTGTTATGCTGTTGGAGTCAAGCTTGAGCCTGAAAAACATACTCAATATACACAATTTGTATTTATAAACCTTAATTTTGGTATATGGTGATGAACCTAGCTACAATGACATATAGAATCATTAACAAAAATGAGAAAAAGCTTAATACATTTGACTGCAAAACAATTAGCTACAAGACTGATTCCCAGAAGTAGAATAGAGAAAAGCTGTCATGGTTAATGAAAATTAAGAATCAGAAGAAAACATTTCCTATATAATATAATTTAAAAATTTTCAAAATCAATAAAATTTACCCTAAATGAGCAAATTATATATATGCTATCAAGAAATTTACATGACAAGTTAGGATAACAATAAAAAAAAAAAAAGAGCATACAGTAAGGGAGAAAATTATGGTAAGAGCTGTTGAGTAGAGCATATATGATCAAGTATTACTCACCAGGCGACTGGCAAAAGGAGGAAAGAAGAAAAAGTTGGCTGTGAGAGAGGAAAGCAGTGTAGGATGTAGGAACTGGTGAAGACCAAAATGCTATTATCTGGTATTCTTTGCCTCTTTCACAAACAAAGAAATCTGGTATTCTTTGCTTCCTTCACAAAAAAGGAAAAGCATACAAACCTTTATTATATAAAGATAAAGTGGGAAGGCATTGAGCAGGATAGGGATATTGAGTTCAATTTGAGTCACATTGTAGGTTGCACCATTTAGCTAGTTTCTTAGGTGTCATTCTAACAAGTGGTACAGTTGCATCCTGGGAAGAAGTGAATCCAGCACAAAGGATTTCAATAGGAGCCAATTCAAATTCATTAAATTAATTTTAACATGGGATTTGGTTGGAAAGGAAGTTAAATTTAATGGACTGGTAGTTTTAGCATATGCATCTGGGAAAAACTAGGGGCATGCAAAAAGCAAAGGCACTAGTTTATTTTTATGAGACCAAAAAATGAAAAACATGATTAATTTAACAGAATATGTTGAATAAGGGCTATCTGTTCTTGCCTTACCTTGGCATCCCTCAATATGTAAGTCCATATCCCCAAAACTGCTGAAGTCTTCTGTAATTAACTTTCATGATATTGTCTACAGTGAATTGATCATTTCCCCCCAAGCAACATCACCTGCAAATGCAAATCAATATATCATTTACTTTGTAGGGCATGTTGGGAATTGGAGATTTACCTTCTTTTTCTTACCTTAGTAATCTTCTCAATAAGTCCTTGCCAAAGCGGTTGAAGGCCACAAAAACTTCCAGGATCTTGGCTGCAGTAAATTGATTGTT